GTGATATTTTAATTAAAAGTAACACAACAAGTTATGTCACTTTTTAATTAAAAAGTCACAAATTATGTAACTTGACTTTTCTTAATAAAATCTTTGGCAATAAGTACTTTACCCCCACTATATTAAATTTCGATCCTGCAAAAAGAAAAGAGACAGACACTAGAATGAAACTCAAATGAACTAACAACAAATACATGCATGAGAAAGATTAAATGACCTCTGTTTCTACAGCATTGAATATATGAAAATAATTCAATAAAGAGGGATTTTGAAAAGTAACAAACATTAAAAAAGTGAAAAATAATATTTAACACCAATCAAAACTATTCATCAAGAATCGTTTTGCAACAAATCGTAAAAACGAAATTTAATAGAATACTCTTAACAAATTTTAAGGTATCCATTCAAAAACAAAGGGTGTCTGAGAGCAAGAAGTACACACGAATTTTAAGTGCACTATTGATTTTGTTCTTAAGGAACCACGTCTCCTCAAAGATGTGTTGTCAAAAAAAACCACCCCTACTAAAAGGGGTGCAACTTTTTAATGATCTGAACCAAATAGAAAATTTTCTCCGTTGTGAATATAATAGAGTGTGCAATTCAAAGAAAATAATTCGGTGAAAGGTGAGTAAATTAATTGGAAATGCAAAAGTTGAAACTTTTCATTTTCAATTGCTCACACAAAGATGTATACAAACTTTTCAACGAAAATAAGACACTTGCATCATTATGGAGTCGGGATTCGAGCCAAGTATCTCATGGTTTCAGTAGAAGTCATTATTTTAGCCACGTTTGAATGTAGTTGAGAAATAAGTATCGTGAATCAAGCAATTGCATGTTCCTTACAATTGAGAAAACCTATTTGATATACATAATTGAAATGCTCGATAATCACAAATGGTAATTTTTTGTCCTTCTACCATGTAACCAGCTTTGAGAATACCAATTAGAGAAATTACATTTAAGACTACATAATAGCTAATAAAAAGAGAAGAGTAATGCTACTTGCAGTCCCTCACTGCAGCAGTCGCTCTATGTGACACACACATGGCATGTAGTTATTTGATACATTAATATGGTAGTTTTTTTTTTTACCACATTTAATGCAT